CATATATATATATATACACATTTAACTTTAGATTATTAAGCATGATTGGGGGTAATATAAGAACCTCAGAATCGAAGAGAGTCCGTCGACTCCCCGCACGTCCAACTCTGGGGCTCCCGCCGCGATGGGGCTGCGCGGCAGCGGCAGAGACAGGTCGCAGTGCAACAAAAAGGAGCTGCAAGGGTTCAGGGTTTAGGGTTGAGGTTAGGAAGTTTAGGGTTGAGGGTTTTAGGGTTGTTAGGAAGTTTAGGGTTTAGGGTTTAGGGCTTTAGGGTTTAGGTCAGGAAGTTTAGGGTTTAGGGTTTAAGGTGTAAACTTAAGGTTTAAGGGTTGACGAGTCATAAATCATGAGCTGTACGCTAAACTGCTACTAGCCTCCTTAATGACCCCTATTAAACTCCTTAAGTGGGGTTCTATAGGGGTTAGAACGGGGAGTATTCTAGAACCTATAATACTCCCCAATAAAACACCCTTTTCACCCCACTTAAGCAGCTTACACCATAGTTCATATGACTTGCAACGAATGAGGGTCTTCCAGAAAGATTCAGGGGCTGACAAAGGAATTTTCCATTTGATTTTCCATGTGATTTCTATGCATTCGGTATTTTATCCGTCATCCCTAAAACCCTGAACCCTAAACCCTAAATAGTAGTTTCCATGTCATTTTCCATTGGACTCTCCATGATTGTCACCCTAAATCCCAAACCCCTAAGCTTCAAAAACCCTAAACCCTATATAACCCCATAGAACCGCACATAACACCTATATCACCCTATATAAGCCCTATATCCTCCTTTAAAGGCAAGCCTAAGCCCTAAACCCCACATCCTAAATCATGTGCCGCGCAGGTGGAGAATGGGGATGTGAACTGGATCGTCCCAGATGCTCGGCGGACTTGGAAGCGCATGACTTGTTCAACCCGAGAAAGGTTGATCTGGTTTAGGATTTTCGGTCTAAGATTTAGGTCTAGGGTTTAGTGTTTAGTGTCTAGAGTTTGAGGTTTAGGGTTTAGGGTCTAGGGGTTCCCTAAACCCTAAACCCTAAACCCCTAGGGTTTGAGGTTTAGGGTTTAGAGTTGGAGGTTTCGGGTGCTGAGGACAAGTTCCTGGCCTTTGCTGGGCCGAGCCCGACCTCCACAGATGCTGATGGGCTCCGCGGCTTTCGAGATGCCACGGTTGCTTATGTAATATACTATCCCAGACCCCCAAAAGGATCTAAAAATTAGATCCCCTAGAACCATGGGGGGAATTATGTAAGGATTATATAGGGGTTATAATGGGTCTATATAGGGGATCTAATTTTTAGATTCTCCCAAGGGGTCTGGGATAGTATATTATGGTATATCATTATGGGATATTCTGCTTATTAGTATATTATAGTATACAAGAGTATATCTCATAGTATATGATAGTATAGAATATACTATAGTACGTTACAATATACCAATATATAGTACAGTATACAATAGTCTACTACATTGTATTTTATTTCGGTCTGCGATGTGTGAGTTGCGCGAAAGTTTCGTGGCATCCTGGCTGCAAGGTTTCCCGCCTTCACACCAGAGGACTTGCCCGCATGCTCAGGTTTCGCTCAGCGCATGTTCTGTTATTGTGTGCTATTGTATACTATCGTATATTCCAGTATATTATTGTATGTTATCATATATCGTAGTATACTGTGGCATACTGTAGTTCATAACAGTATAGTAAAGTAAAGTAGAACATGACATACTATGTAAGTACTGTGCGGGCAAACGGGCTGTGCGGCATCATCTCATGATTCGCAGACTTGAAGCGGAGGACTACGTGCCCATCTTCCGGGATGCTGGCATTGGTCTGGTCGTGCGGCTCAACAAGAAGCAGTGCCCCGAAGGGTCTGGGGATCAGGGTTTAGGGTTGAGGGCTTTCGGGTTTAGGGATTCGGATCTAGGGTTTAGGGTCCAGAAGGACAAGCAGCCTTCTGAACTATTCACAGGTACAGTCCTTCACCTCATTTCAGCCATAATCTAGACTCCCTTAAGAGGGTTATATAAGGGTTCTATAGGGGACTACTATAGGGGATATTAAGGGGGAGACTAGGGGTTTAGACTGTACATTCGTGCTTCGCTGATAGACCGTGCGTAACATGCCAGACGTCGTGTGGCAGTCAAGTCCAAACATGTGCTCTTGAAGCCTTCATGCCCCCAATGCAAACACCAATGAGCTCTTCCAGCACATTCTTACTCAATTGTAGCAGTTTCCATTTTCTTTTCTATTATCCTTGTATAACCCTAACATAAGCCCTATAGAAGCCCCATGGTCTATGGAAGCCCTACACTCTTGCCCCCAAACACTTTCCTACCTCGCCATGGGTGCAGCTTGCCGCCGTAGCAATGCTGCCGTGGTGACTTTCAATGAAGAAAAGGGCCTGAACTTGGTCGTGGGCTTCCTGGACGGTTCAGAGATCACAATTGAAGGCCTAGCCCCTTATAGGGGTTATTTAGGGTATATACAGCGATGATATTAGGGTTTAGGGTTTCGGGTTTGGGGGGTGCAGAAATCTGCAAGCCCAGTTGGGCCTCTGTGGTGGCTTGCAGAGTTAAACGGACTTCAGAGTAAGCAGCCGAGTGTTCTTCCTCCTGCCAACGCTGCTCTATTGACATTGACTGACCTATCGTCTAAACTCCTGAAAGGGGGCTTGTATAGGGGATTATATAGGGGACTTTTATAGGGGTAATTCAGGGGGGTACAAGGAGTTTGGACTATAGCTCAAATGGTAGTCCACAGATAGGAGAACAGCAATCTAGACCACCAATATACTCAAATCCTTATTCAAGGCCCATCCAACACCTAAACCCTAAACCCTAAGCCCTAAGCCCTAAACCCAACAACCCCCCTCTCCCCCGAAATGGCTGCTAACCACCGCAGGTCTTGCTCCGCGCGGGACCGGGTCTGGGATAATGCGATCCAATGCGAGCTTGGTGTGTGTTCTTGGAGAGGGGTATGTAGTGATGGTACAGGGGTTTATGGTGTACTGTAGGGATTACGTAGGGACAATGAAAAAGCAGGGGAAACTGTGACTTCTTCCTACGACAAGTCCACCCCCCGTGACGCTCAATAGTAACATGTAGTATTCTTATGTAATGGAGGAATCCCTTTGATCATGAGGATCATTATTGTTATGAGGGCAAAGGGGCAAAGAGATGAGCTGGGAGGACAGAGTGGAAAGACGCCTACGCGCATCGTTCGAGGTACTGGTGATTAAGGCAGAGAGCGGGGCTCTGGATCCCCATAATGCCTATGATTACCATATTAATTCCGAAGTAGCCCCTCCATAATGGTCCGTAATCGCTTGCTCCCCTTTGAGCTCCATGAATATTGCGTTGCTGTTTAGGAACTTAAATCAAGTTACCATACTTACTGGGTATGTATATATATATAGGAGTTAATATGGTTTCCCCAATATAGTAACTTAAACTAAGTTCCTTAACAGCAACCCAGTAATAAAGTACACCTGCTTTTTGTGGACGCGCAACATTCATGTTCCACTCAGCAGTCTGGCTGTTTTACCTGTGTTTGCGGCGCAAACTTGAAACATGGGCTTCCTTGGGCCGCAACCCAGGGAGCCCAATATAGCTTAACTTAGGGATATACCTTAAACCATACTAAGGGTCCTAGTAGAATCTAAGGTATTTGCCCTAGGGATATACCTTAAAGCACATTAAGGGTCCTAGTATAATCTAAGGTCTTTGCCCTTAATTAAGCTATATTAGTCTCCTTGGGTTCCTTGGGCCGCAAGGACTCTGGAAGACTTGCTCCTGCAGCTCGGGGAGCGGTTGAATTATCCCACCAAGTACCTCTTGCTGAGCCTGGAGTCGCGGAGCTTTTCAGAAGAGGAATGGGGGCGCCAGGGTTGCTGTTAAGGAAGTTACATTAAGCTACCAGAATAAGGAACACCCCAGCATTTATTTACCATGTACCCATTTCATGGTAACTTACTTTCAGCTCCTTAACAGCAACCCAGGTGCAGTCTTGAGGACATAGGAATCCGGCATGAGACCAAGCTCCACTGTGTGAAGTCCACGCCGATCAGCCGTGCTTTGCCAGCTGTTTGGCCTGGCTCCGATGGCCCGCGCACTCTGGCCAATTCGGCAAGGGAGGCGAACAAGGTGCAGGAGCTGTGGAGAAAAGTTTGAAAGGTTGCAGCATGTTGCAGTTTTGAATTACTTTCCAAATTAGTATTATTGTTCTTATTATTACTAGTACTACTTTATTATGATTATTCGTATTAGTTTTACCATTTTGGCTCAAGTTTGGCTCAAGAGGAGGCGCTTCAGCTCTCAAAGCGCCCCACGTGCCTACCGACCTATCTAATGCCATG